TTGTATCGAGTTCGCGCTGATCTGGCACATCGTCCTCATGCTCGAAGAAAAACGTATCGATGACGGTTGGCTGATCTGGTGGTGTAGCGCATCGACGAGGTCTCGTAACAGGCTATCGCGTGTATTTTCTTTAGTAAATCGCTTCTCCATAGCTTTGCAAAATTGTTGGAAGATGGGCTGGTGGTGCGATTTTCGAAGACGTACAAGGGATCGTAATCTAGCTACCCCGATGGAAAGAAAGGTTATTCAACAGCGTCTTACCACATTCTGATATCCCGAAAGATCGTGGGATGGAATCCTATCCTTTACGATTCACCTCATACACAATTCCTGGAACTTCATTATCATGATCTTCAAGTTGGATCTCTCTAAAAGAGGGACGAAAGATACCAGAGGGAGAGTCAAACTCATAGATCGAAAACAAACTGACAACGCCATGGCCAAAAACAAAAAGACAAACAGACAAATAAAAGTACAGATGACACAACATAGAAAACTAAAGACTAAGCAACACGAACCCCACCAAAAACTGGGGGTGATCTCAGGTGCTCCGGAAGGGTAGGCAGATCCTGCTCCACCATGCGGCACCCGTCGTGTTGCTTATGTTATTACAAATCCGGTAAATAGTCTAATTCGGTAGGTCACATTCTTGAAAAGGGAAGGGTATTGTAGTTACGACATAAGGAACATATTCGATATCATCTGTGAAACGGTTATTCCATAACGGTCAACCAACTCGTGATGGCGTCCGTAAAAACTACGAAGGGATGATTTCAACTTCACTATTTGGAACTCTTGGTTTAATAGCTTCCTTGTGAGCAGCAATCCTCTACCAATTTAAGGAAATCATGATAGGAAATACAAGCCCGGGAATATCGTATCAATTGGGAGATATATACTCTATATGCAGGCGCTGCTGGAATGTTGCTACATAGAAATGGAAAGTTCAAAATTGGGAAGCTGAAATCATCTCTTTTGTCGTAAAGTTTTGTTTTCAACCGACCCTCATTGTCAATTTCTATATGTAAGTCAAGATTTGAGGCAGACTTATCTAATGTGTCTTCAATTTTGTAATGACTATGAGTGTAAGGTGCTTATCTTATCTTCTAGTATATGTCGCTTTGTATCTGCATCTGACAGGTGAATATTGATGACCTCTTCGGATTACTTAGTATGAAGTCTACTTCTGATGATGTCCATCGGCTGGTACACTTGTCGCTGCGTCTCCAAACAGATCTTGTTGTAATTGAAGATGATGTTACTCCGAATGATGGTCGTCTTCACCCCTTCTTTTTATGTCATCCTCCACTTTGTACGCATACATCTTTGCACGCGGTCCAACAATCTCTGTCATGTTCTGGTCATGACATTGATATTTAACCATACCTAAGACCTTTTTGTTAAAACCAGAAGGCATACCAGATGGCTGATCAGTTGGGTTGTTTGACGAGTCAAATTTACTTGTCGTGTCCTTGTAAAAGTATTCTGTCTCAATTCCGTAGGCAAGACGGTATGTATCAGAGAACAAGAGCTGTCCATTGCTTCCGTGCATATTTCGTACAGTTGTAATTAAAGTCGTGCCTTAGTATTCGAAACAAGTCGAACTTGGTACATCCTAGGTTAATCGGGTTGTGGAACACTAGTTTCGTTTACCTCCTATGATCCGCCACCAGTTTATCGGCAACGTAAGTCCTTTGGTAGAAATTTATCTTGACAATCAACTTAAGTACTTGCTACTCAGGGTTCACCAACTTGACATCAACTCGTTTTCTGATGTTCTCCATCGTCCGACCAAAGAAGGAATTATTAATGAACTTATTAGAATAAAACCTCTTTGCTCACAAACAATTATTCAGGTCGATATATTCCCTCAACCACGTCTACTCTGATATCCTTTTCAAACAAAATCATGTTCGATTCACATTTGCATGGGGTTTTTTTTCCAGCGCAGCATCGTGTGTAGGTCATGGTGCTGTGTAGTTCCAAGCAGGATCTAGATGATAATTCTTCATTCAAATGTCCCTTAGATTTCAAAAATGTTTGTCTTAAGCAACTCGTCGGTTTCAATGTACTGTGTAACAAGTCATGATAGCCGCCAATTGTCTTCATGTCAATCTGATCCCAACCTTGTTTTACATGTTTGTAGCTTGTCATCTCTGTTTTCGTTGTACAGTTTTAAATGAAATTCTTTAATTGCCAGTAGCTTGGTGTCATTCAACTTTTCGGCATCGTCCATGTAGCGGTAGCGGTAGGGATAAACTCCCTTTTGATGACAAAGTCACTCTTGTCATCAAATTGTGCTGCTCAGTGTGGTCTTGAACTGGTCGCAAGTTATACAACGAGTTTGGTATAAAAAAAAAGACAATTAAGTGTTTAAAGACAATGGGAAGAAATCCAGTTCTGTATTTGAAACTTGTGATCATGATCGCGAACTAGTGTTTCACTGCAGATGTGACAACTCACACTGAACTCAAAACAGCTCGTGTCTGCTGTGTCCGTCATAATTTTATGGTACTAGTAATTGTTTGTTATTTTTGTAAATCTCCCCAATTGCTAACGCTTCCGACTCTTTCTTCTGACGGGTTCTGCTGCAAAGTCTTCGCCTCAATAAACGATGTGTTGCTTGTACTCTCCAACGTCTCAAAAACATTGATGGTTTGTGAATTTGTTATTGCTTCGTGAAGACTTCTGGTGAGTTAGGTTGCCACGTATCCAGTTTTGGGGTAAAATTCTCAAAGTTAGCATACACGAAAACGGTACCTGTATGTAATGTCCTTGATTGGTAAAGCAATCGTGTGAGGTTTTTGTATTTAAATCTTTACTGCCTTGTATTGTGACAATACTCTTTATGCTTTGTTCGACCTCTAAAGAAGTGACCAAATTCAAACGTCTGCGACAAATAAACATCCAATACTCATTATGAGATAGTTGAACAGATACAAGGCGCGAAGATTCCTCATCCAGCAGAAGTTCTGCCTGTCGTCCAACTGAAACAGTAAACGACCAATTCTGTGTTTACATTGATGTTGGATATTCGCATTTGATATGTATTTTTTAACACGGACGTGTCTGAATTCATCCTTTCAAACTTCTGGATGGCTTGTAGGGTTATTGGGAAGTCGAGGTCATCGAACCACATCTTGTCTGACCATTTTTGGTATTGACTCACTCGTATGGTAGATTTTTTATCTAACTCATGACAGTGTAAAGCTAATAAGAATTCCACTGAAATCATTTGTTATCGTTGTGTTTCATATTGGTAATTGTTTTTTGAAAGCTAGTTCCTTCGGAAGAGGAATATACGAAGATTCCTTCAGAGGTTTGTACTTGCTGGTTTGAATGGTAAGACTAAGAACACTTGCTTGAATACCCATCCACTTCCCTCCTTAGTGTAGTAATCCATTTTCTCTTCAATCCTGAATTGTCTTTATCATTTCCATTAACTCTTCTTAAATATCAGTTGCTTCAGTCATGGTAGTTATTGAAGAATAAACATAAGCTGCAGCATATTCTTCTCCAGTGGCAGTGCGATTCTTAGTTAAGAAAAAACCTTGAGATCTACATTAACCTCTTTAGATCTCATGATTGGATTCTCCAATCTTCCTCACGATATGTTTGTTGCTTATTTCTAAAACTTTAATACTCCATTCATAGCTTTTCTGTTGTCAAAAATCTTTGATTATTAACCTGAGCGGATCGGTAGTCTTCCAGGAACTTGAAGATTTTGTTTCCTTGATCGTCTTTCTTAACTCTTCTTTCTTCATACGAGAAAATGCTGTCACACCATATTTACAAGCAATTCTATCACCTGCTTCTCCAGATATTTCTCTTCTTGGATTGTCCTTGGTCAACTCCACCAATCCTTCTTCATACATGAATATCCTTTGCCGGAGGTTGTGGTCCTTCGCAATCTTTCACTTCCTTGGCAGAAGTTGCTACTTTCATTTTATTTGAAGCTCCAGACATTTTATAATTCTTACTAGTACGATGGTATCTCTATCATGGTGTTTCATTTCTTTTTCAGAGCCCCTTGTAAAATTTACATTTTTTTATGTTCCATATGAGTTTGCACCATTACACATAGCTGTCTTTATAGCCCATATGTTTTGGAGGCTTATAACGAGTTTTCATCAATTTTTGGAACCTCCACTATCTTTTGGCAATTATTTTTTTATTAAAGATTAGATGGTGTGGCAGAATGTATCTACTCGAAGGACAAATTTGTAAAATTGGTCGTATCATGGCTTGTTTGTTTATATGAGCTCTACAAACAAAATTAAATTAAACACAGTAAATTTTTTTTACATGTGATTACCGTTGATTATAAGATTTCTGCAAATACAGCCTTTCTACAAAACCCATTATTTTTATCTCTGAAAGAATTTAGTAATGGGTTTGAGAATGTATGGTGACGAAACCCCGTGACGCTATGCCAGTGTATGTACTGATATACACATTGTTAGAATGGTGAAAAGCAAACAAAAAAAGTCAGAAGTCAATAACTTGGGGTTCTCCTGCGGTAACGGACATCCGACACTAGTAAATAACTAAGATATATACGTTATATAGGAATTCAAGTTTTTTAATAGTGCAATTGAGAATCTTGATAAAGTTATATAAACAAGTTACACTATGATGATTTTATGGACTGTAATCTGATAACCACATATTGCAGTATTACATCAATCACTTAATATTAACAGAAATAACATCAGTATATGTACTTGAAGAAAAATAGTATACATCGTCTTGAACATATGATGACTCTATTTGCCACTGGATTTTAAGCAACCAACAATCAATCGTGTACTAAAATAGTCATAATTTTTTTCATTTTTTGCAACCATAATGTTTAATTTGAAAAATTCAAGTATAAAATCACATGATTAATTACATAACTAAGATTTATCAACATTGACCTTACTTGCTAGATTTATTTAGGTAAATCCGGAAATAAAACCGTTCGTAAACCGGAATTAGTTACTCCTTAAAATGGTTGTCTCCCCTTAAATTAACAGAAAATTTTATGTAATTTTTAATGTCATTGCGTTAACTATTTATTGGATTAATAAGGATAAGGTAAACGAACAAACAGGTAAACACAACTTTGTTAAGAGAAAAATCACCCTAATTCTATACCCTAATGGTGTTTGTTTAATATGTGTAGTTCTTTCGAGATGCAGTGTGTGTCTTACATGAGATATCAAACAAATCAAAAGTTACAAAACTTTCCAAGAACTTGACGTTGAATTGTTCCTTTAAAGTGCTAATCGTTTCGTTAGCTGATCGTTTTGTACCTGGTCGTTTTGTGCCTGGTCGATTCGTAACTGATAAGTTTCGTACCTGTTGTATAATAATTTATTTATATGGCTACAAATGTATAAAGTGTCTCTAGTTTTGCCTTTTGGCTTTAGCCGCTTACAGTAATTAATTATATAGTTAAAGACAATATGTTATGTATAAATTAATTCACAAGTTTTGTCTCTGGAAGTGATAAACTCTTAGAAATGTCTATATATTGAAGGTTAAAACAAATTTCTTGTATTTATGTTTTATATTATTTAAATTTTATTTTAGTTGCTCGGCCTTGGGAAACCATACATAGAAATGTTTGATTTTATCCCTACCCTCTAAAGTTTAAATACATGTATTTGTGTTTAAAAACTTAAAACAACATTTTTTATTTAACACTAGCATATACCATGTATACCAAGCGTATAACCATGATAACAGCATAGAAGTTATTAGTTGTTAATTATAACTTGTTTTAACATTTACATTGTAGCTATGGTTTTCATAACTTTTACTGTTCACAATTACCACCTGAACATGAAGCCATTCAATAAATTTACAAAATGTAGAGATTTTGATTAATGAAAATTCATTTACAGTCATAATGACAATCAATCTTTCTGAGCTTTGTTCTGTAACCAATTTTTTTTCTAAAGAATTCTTTAATTTAGACATTAAACATGTTTTAAAAAAACAAATATTAAAAATTAAACTCACTGTTGTGAAATACCAAAATATTATTATCATTGAAAGACAAAACATTTTTACTTTATGTTTAATTATAGCAAATTCTACATTATAAACATTATCAATAATAGAGCAATCTGTAGTGAAGTATTTTGAATGAATTGAATTTGAATTAGAAATGTAAGTTGATCAATTACTAAGGCATGGATAAATTATCAATAATTGTTTTAATATTTTATAATCGATATATTTATTCAACAATTCTTCAATAACCTACAATTCATATCATCATATATCATTATAAGCATGTGATAAGGTTACAAAAGGTCTCAGTTACGAAACGACCTACTGTAGTTAGTTAACGAATCGACTAAGTACGAAACAACCAGGTTATGAAACAACCTGTACCCTTTCCTTTAATCTGTCAAAAATCCCAAGAATTATTTTACTATATAAATTTTTGTGTATCCGTTGACAAAACAGTGGTAAACCAAGTAAATTTCAAGTAAAACAATAAAAAACAGCACTATAGAAACTACAGATACTACTATAGAAATAGTAAAAATCTCTATTTTACGGGGTATCCATTTGTGTTTTTGTTTTACTCCTTTACTTTTGTCTGTATCAATAGAGGCAAAAGACACAAACAAATTTTCAAAGTAAAATGACCAAATCGTAAATTCTAGAATGCATGCATATGATTTGTTAGTTGTACATTTGTCTCTTTGGAGCACACACAGAGAAGCTAGTAGCTAGTGCCCTATGCGCTAGTGATGACCATCGCCCATAGTGTCCATAGTGTATTTGAAGCAATAATCATGATAATCCAGACCAACTTAAATCTTTTTTAGGAAACAAAAATGGTCCAAAAATGATCATAAGTTGACAATTTGGTAGCTTATCAGGCTCTATAAACAAATAAACGAAGACTTCTAACCGACTATAGATACAGAGAACCAGTAACCGCGCCGTTTTGCCGATCTGTCAGATAACCGAAATGGCGACAAAGGAAAACATCGCGCCCAAAATGGCAAGGTTGTTTTTAGCGTGGGTGAAGTCGGAGGTTGTTTTTTCCAAATTTAACAGGTCGCAGGTCATTTTTAGAAGGCCCTCAGGTCGGAAGTCGCCTCTAAAAAGCCCGGAGGTCGCAGGTCGTTTTTGACTCTGCGGGAGCCTCACACATCATTAACCTTTATGGTTTTTGATGGGTAATAAATCAATAAACATGAACAGTTTCGCCGATTTGGGAGAGAATCTTTGGAGGAATTTGGGAGTTAAATCCCTGGTATGCGGTGTGACATCCGAAAAACACGGAAATCGGAAAAAAACGATCTCGAATCGATTCGTTTAAATGGTACTGTACTCCATTGAATGGGGATTTATGTACATGCACAGACAGGCTTGGGAATGGAACCCACTTTATTTTATTATGTTTTGCTATTCTAAACACAATCTTACTTTGGGAGCAGTTTAGATGTTCTGACCTACTTCTTTTATATATCATGTGTTCATCCTCGAAAATTTAAGTCACTAATGTGGGCAAAACATTTGAGAAATTCATTGGAACCAAACTTTTAAATATTTTTTACAGTGTGTATTTATGTTGTGCTGTTACACTACTGTCCCAAGTTAGGGGAGGGTTCAGAATTTACAAACATGTTTAACCCCACCACACTCTTTATGTGTGTGTCCCAAGTCAGGAGCCTGTAGTTCAATGGTTGTCATTGGTTCATGTCTGTCAAATATGTTTTTCGTAAATTGGTTTGTTAACATGGTTAATAAAAATTTATATTAGGCCATTAGTTGTTTCACATTTTGTTGTCTTGGCCTTTTATAGCTGACTTTACGGTATAGGTTTTTATCATTGTTGAAGGCTGTATGGTGGCCTATAATTGCTTACATCCACTTCAGTTGATCTCTGGTGGATTGATGTCTCATTTGCAATCATTACGAATCATTCCACATCTCTATATTTTTGTATTCAAGGAAAATTTAAGGATAAGTTAATTTTTTTGTATTCAAGGAAAATTTTATGATAAATTCAAAATCCAGTAGCTATAGAATTGATGTCCTTTAAATACTTACATCACTGGTGGCTGTTTAAACTGCTTGTAAGTTCTAACTTTGCAGGAAATTTATTTGTAAAACCCTGAAAGGGGCGAGACTTTTTACTGGGCCCCCATTCCTTTAATAGTTAAGAGAAAAATTTGATGATGCTGTATAGTTTATACTACATGTATATGTATGAGTATGAAGTATATTAATTTGAACTGTACAGCAGCCATACCAGCCACCAACACCAGACTTCCAAAAATATAGACTTAAAAACAAAGACAACAATGAAAAACACATGGTCCAGACAGCCATTATGTACATGAAGTACAAAATGTGGTGGGGTTAAACACATTTAATGTTTGCACAAACCTCTCAATGTATATGTACCTATCTAGACACTATATACGTTAAGTTGAACACACAATAAAAAACCTGCAGATTACCGGTACAGATACCAACAAGATGACCAATCAAGACCTATCAGCCATCCAGATAGAAAAACACACAAAAATAGGAATACATCCATAATTTAACATTACCTACATTTTAACATTAAAATCATTCTTGCTCAGCAATTTCATCTTGTAAACACACACTATTATTATATAGAATACTTCTATTTTTAACTAGAAAATATGAGTTAAGACAAACATATGACTCTTATGCAGCTATAAATAGAGAGTTTTAATGTTCCCCTTAAAAATCTGAATTTCTTGATTTTCACAATATTTTTTTATAAGATAAGGAGATGTGTTTATTTTCTACCTCAGAACATAAAAATCTAACCAGTGAGATGACACAAAACAATGGAAAAAAACTATGGCCTCAGATGTATACATAACTAACTGAATATTCATGAAAAAAGAAAAAAAAACTGTACAAAGAATAGTCATGATAGTATAGGATAGTTATGAAATTTTTTCTGTGAACAGGAATTCTGAATTTATTTCCCTACTGAAAAGAAACTGTTTTGTGATGTCATTATTGAATTGGTATGCCTTATCTTTACAAGGACTTGCATTCAAATACTTCAATATTTATTTCTCATATTTATAAACTACATGATCTAAGGTACTTGTAATATTTAATTCCAGTTATTTAGTAATGTCTTCCTTGCTCACAATACTCTTGAGAAATGAATGCAGAAGAATATGTTCCAAATGTCTTTTGGATCATTGTGTGCCAAAACAAACATTTCGAAGATTCCACAAATCAAAATGGTCAAGGAAAAATGACAGTCTTCAACAGGGAGTTGATAAAGTGAAAAAGACATCACTGAAAAGAAAGCTAGCATATGGTATAGGATTAGGCTGTCTAACTACAGGAGTTGTTTATGTTACATTAGAAGAACCTAGTCGAAGGAAGATCAGAGTAGTTGTTGGTGGAGTAGGCAGATTTCTAAGGTAAGATTAATTGATGGCTGTAAATATTTATTTTCAGTACAATAAGGTCATAAAGGTGTTTAATGTATCTTGCTTTGAACTAGATGGACACACAGAGTTTCATTTTTAACTCCTAAATTTTGCTTGCTTTGGAACAAGCAGCAAATACCAATATTCAAGTCTTTGGTTTGATGCTGCCAGTTATTGAACACAGGTAAATTTCAATGGAGGTGAGATAGCTACAATCTGACCATAGATATAATTCCTTTTGTATCAAAAGAGGCCTCTGTGGCCGAGTGGTCTCAGTAGTCTAACCACTGTATCACTAGCCTGACAACACTGAGATTGTAAGATCGAACCCCGCATGTGGCAGGTGCGCTCAACTCCAATTTTACTTGAATATTGTCAGTATTCCTGCCGAAGGTAGTGGTTCGCGGAATTCTCTCCGGGCACTCTGGCTTTCTCCACCAATAAAAAATGACCGCCATAAAATAGCCAATAGTGCTGAAAGTGGCATTAAACAGAAATCAATCAATCTTGTAACAAGATCATGTAATGCTGTGTATATATATATATATATATATATATATACATGTCATGTAGGTGGAAAGAGGAAGATTTGAAAAATAATATTATATTTTTCACAAGTAAATAAACCATAACAACAATGGAAATTTTGTAGGATTTATATAAATGATATATACATGTATATGTGCAAGGCTATAAAGTAGAAAAAACAAAAGGTAAAAATAAATCATTACAAACATTGAATTTGAAACAAATTAAGAGTTTATGATATAATGTAGGCTTGTAGGGTCATGTGTAATACATGTAGATATTTAAAACAGCTTTTAAAGCTGATTATAAAAACATAGACCATAATTATTTTGCTGATTTTTTTGTCAATACACAGAGATTAGAAGAAGAAAAAAATAATGCAAGAAAGCCTTGTATTTGTTTATTGAATACAGATGGTCAATAATAAAGATGACCATTTCTTTTTTAGATCTCTAAAAATAGGTTTAGTTGTATCTGCTGATTATAAATGGAACTTATGGAAATTAAAGGAAGACTCTAAGGAATACAATGATGCTATCAAATTATGTCACAAACGAGCTGCTGACCGACTCCTAGTTGGATGTTTAAGGAATGGAGGACTTTATGTTAAACTTGGACAAGGTCTTGTCTCAATGAATCATATTCTACCACGTGAATATATAGACACTTTAGTTGTTTTACAGGATAGAGCTTTAGTTAGACACCCTGATGAGGTAAGTAAATTTAAGCAAAAGTTAGTAAGAAACTAGCTACAAATATCTTATTTCCAATGGTACCTAAAAGAGTATAAAAGATAATCTGCAAATATTCTTATAAGATGATTATCTGTTAAGAAATTTGGCCATACAGTAAATACACTGCTTATTTTATAAATCATGTACAAGATACATTGGGAGCAGTGAATTGAAATAATTGTAAATTGATGATAGTCATGTAACACCATGGCCAAAATAGAAAGACAAAAAGACCAAAAAAATATTAAAGACACAGAAAATTAATATAAAAAATGTTACCGCTAAAAAGCATGCGACCCTGAAGGGCAGGCTTTTGCATAGTAGGAAGGTATATCAAGAAGGGGATTTATATTTTTTTTCTTCTAGTACCATTATGTTTTACTGGAAAGTTAGTTTGATTATGCTTTAGTTTTTCAATAAAGGAATGCATTTCTGAATCATAATTGGACTAATTTTCATCTTCTATATAAAGTCATCAACCTGATTATAGAAAACCTATTGAATAATAGTGTAGAGAATTATGTGGTTATTTAAGCTCACAAAGAACTAATGCTTATCCATTTTTTCTCAAATACTGAGTTTACATTGACTCCCTTTTTTTTTACAATGATTAGGCATGATGTATGGTAACGGATCTAAAACAATCATTAAATTAACAACAATTAAAGCACTCTTTGATGTATAATTTCTTTGATGTTCCGATAGTCACAAGATCATATGAGGTAGTGATAGACAATGTTAGGTTTGTGATGACTGTATGGAATTGTCACACAATGGGGAAGATATACACAATAAAATATCCTTTAAACTTTGTTTTGTGAGATCTTAAAATTTGAAATATAAAAAAAAGATTATCAGGATACATATTGAAATACATGGTACCATTGAATTTGTTGATATTTAACATTGTGACATGTTTTATTTACAAATGCATAAACATATTAAAGGTTGAGGAACTGTTTATAGAAGACTTTGGTATGACACCTCAGAAAATGTTTAAAGAATTTGAAAAAGAACCAATTGCTGCTGCTAGTCTGGCCCAGGTACACAAAGCTGTGACGCAAGATGACAAGAGAGTAGCTGTTAAGGTATGTAGTTAAACACTGTAAATTCAGAATTTAATGCACCTATACATTACATATATATGTTTCATGATAAGGTCTGAGTACACAGTTATTTCGTAGTGCATTTCTTTTAGACAATAAATGAAAATAAAAAAAATCCCACCTGCGCTTTCTCAATAATAATTTTACAGTGTGTAGTACTACTTTTGGGACAAATAATATCAAAATTATAGAAAACTTTATTGGCTCTAACTCAAAATATGGACAATTTTATGTTATGGGGGTCTTGAAATCTTTTGACAGCTTCCAGAGTGCTAATTTTTAACCTTTTTCAGCTGGACCAAATCACTACTTTACTTTAAAATTCATGACCCAAATTTTTTTACAGTGTAATTTCATACTTGCTATTTGAGGCATAAAATATGAAGAAATACATTTGGAAGAGGTATAAAAAAAATTGGCAAGTAACACACTGTCCACACTAGGGACTATATTCGTGGACAACGAAAATCAAAGGACGATAACTGTGTACTTGGACCATAATCCGTAATTTTGATTGGCTGACATCAATCATGAGGCACTCCAACATCATATTATATTTCTGTATGACTGCACATGCTATCTGTGACAATGTTAAAGTAATGCATTGAAAAATAAGAAAAGCTTGATGTTACCTTTAATTTTATGGTTGTAGTGTAATGATTTTATAGGGATATGTGTATGCAGTATATTACCTAAAATATCACAATCCTAGGCTTGAGTCACTGGTTATCTTATAGGCCGCTCATCAAAAGGGGACGTCTGATCAGGATAACAACTAAACTATGACTGCCCAATAATCCATGGGGAATCCCGGAATTCCTTTGTATGACGTAGTAATTCTCCGAGTGTAAATGGATAATGATAAAGCCAAGTATATTTAGTTCCGAATAAACTGCTGGTATAATACCATATTCCTAACATTCCTCCCTCTTTCATAGAAGTAAACCCGTTCTGTAGAATAAAGTTATGGGTATTCCTTTTACATCTTCACACTAAAAGGTACAAACGGTTTGAAGTTTAAATGCAAAAATGAATCCTTAATTTGAAATACAGTTGTCCGTAAATTGAAGTAGATTCATGTAGACATAATATTGGAATGTCACAAAATGGTCACAATAAACTATGTACAATAACTATGTACAAAATGATTACTATATACAAAATATCCGCCATGACTTAAATGATGTTGTAGACATCAGTAGCGTTCTTGGTCGTAATATTGGCTACTTCATCTGCACTACACTAGATGGCCAGTTTCTGGGATAACAGTAATTGCTAATAAGATGGGATATTTTATAATCTTTGCTGCTCCAAGTCCAAAAATAGGAAGGTAATGAAATGGTGCCTATTTTTTTTTGATAGCATATCTAAATGAAAATGAGAGTCCGTAAGATGTAATGTCTCGTTTACCTCAAAAACTGGTCTTAAAGATTTCATTTTTTCTACGGAGATGATGTTCTCGCCCATTTCTGTTTGCTGGATCAACGAAGCTAATATTCTCCAATGTAACAAGAACGGTATACTGTATGGAGATTGAACTATAATATTTTTACTTCCAAATTCAAATACATATTCATTCGTGGCATTAAATATGGATAACAGTTTTAAATCTTTTTCCTGAAAAATGGGCTCCGAATGCTTGGGATAAACACAGTTTTTGTCAGCTAAATTACAGAGATCTTGTAACGTATCACATCCGAGTTCTTTAGAAACAACATCCAACAAACCATTCATAAGGTTAACCCAACGTTCATATTTGTCTTCCGAAAATTTTATATTTGTATTTCCAATGTCAGATTGATGGCATTCTGCAATATGAGCTTCTAAAACACTATTCTGGGCAAATTGTATTTTGCACTGCCAGCAAGCAGTTTGCGCGGCAACATACCAAGGTAGGTGCGTTCTCAACACATGTCTGCTGACATTAGTGAAAATTCCAGCACACGTCGGACACTTTCTTCCCTTATTGTATCTCTTTGTACTCGCACGAATATACATTGCATCATTTTTTGGCAGTTCATCCTCGAAAGGTCCATAGTCTGGCTCAAATTCATCATCTTCATGCATACTGCAGGAATAAGTAAAAACATTGAGATGAGACATACACGATAAATATAGATAAATATCAAAATATTTATAAGCAAAAATTATAAGCAAAAATCGCGCACACATTAATACATGTAGTAAAGCTAAAAAATATGTTACATTTTGGCTAAAAATGTCTTTCCTATGTAACAATAATGGACAAAAACTATATTACAATATTATACATAAATAATGATTATCTGTAACAAAATCATTAATCTTCAACATAGTCTGATAAGTAAGCAGGTTTTTTCCTTTGCCTCCTCCTACTTAACATATCGGATTCAACACCAGATGCGTCCATTTCATGAACATGAAGATCCCCATTGATATTCTTCTCACACATGTCGGTCAGACCTTTATTCTCTAAAGACGACGCAGGATCAAAATAATTCGAATTACTGACTGTGTGAGACACCAGAGGATCTGGCGCACTCACAATAGCAGCATCACTAATGAAATGAGACATCAGAGGATCTGACGAACTCATGACATTAGTGTTTTCTTTAAATATATCTGGCAATCCAAGTGTGCATTCGTCCATCTCGTTGATTTCTTCATCCATAGTTTGATCCATTAATTGATTCCTCATCCTTTTAATCCAGATTGGAAGTTCTCTGTCTTCGCAAAGTTTAATTCTGTCATGATGAATCCAAGATTCTGTTTTCCTATCCTTAATCTTGTATAATACAGGTGATCGCCAAGCTGTTATCAAATATGGTCCTTTCCACGGAGATTTCAATTTTCCAGACTGTCCCACCTTTGTAGCTTGATTGAGTTTATAAACGACATCTCCGACATTATAAATATTCTGGTTATATTTCAAGTCATATATGCCCTTTTGTCGTTCCTGGGAAGCCTTCAGATTATCTCTGGCAATGTCATGCACCTTTTTTAAATTCTCCACTAGATCTTTTATATATTGTGGAACTTCTTTTCTGTCAGCATTCCAGTTTGACGTGCCTAAAATTACATCAAGTGGTTGGAAAACTTCTCTTCCCAGCATCATCATGTTAGCAGAGAATCCTGTTTGCGAGTTGCGTGTTGCTCGGACAGCTCCAACTAGTTGTTGTAAAAATAAATCCCAGTTGTGTTGTTTACTTTTGATATAACATCTTATTGTCTGTAGTATTGTTCTGTTATACCGTTCCACTTGCCCATTAGATGACGGATGATATGGTGTGGTTCTAGTTTTAGCAATTTGTAGTAGTTCACAGAGCTGTCTTACTAAATTTCCATCCATGTTTTTTCCTTGGTCTGTGTGGAGCTCAATTGGACAGCCAAATCTAGAAAAGAAATGATCCACCAGGGTTCTTGCCACAACTTCAGCTGTCTGTGTTGCAATTGGGAAGCATTCTAACCACTTTGTATACTGATCAATTACCATAAGCAAATATTTACTTTCTGTTTTCGTAACAGGAAGAGGCCCCAAGATGTCCATGTGTACTCGTTCCATTGGGAAACCAGCATGGTATTGCCCTAGCTTCGATCTGGCGGTTCGTGTTGTTTTCTTGTTAAGATTACATGTAGTGCATGATTTCACATAAAGTTTGCAGGATTGCGTCATGTTGAACCAAACAGCTATTTGTTTCAGTTTTTCTAATGTTTTGTACTGTCCCAAGTGACCAGACGAGGCAACATCATGACATCCATGTAGAAGTTCATTTTGCATCTGTTTTGGTGTCATGAAGAGGAGTCTTGGCGAAATAGGATCTTCCCACTTGTAAAGCAAAATATTGTCTTTTATCTGTATTTGCTGTCGTAATGACCAAAAATGTCGGACTACTTCACTACACAGTTTGAGTTCTGCTTTAGTTGGCTCATATTTATCCTCGATCCATCTCTTTAAAGTTTTTAAATCAGAATCTTTCATTTGTTCTTCATGAAGTTCTACTGGAGAGTATGACGGAGTCCAATTTGTATTATATGAATCGTCGTCAACAAGTCTTCTAATGGTTAAGGGGACGACAAAATCCACTTCTTCCTCAAATGTTTGCCACTGTTGTCGTGCCCTTGTGCAAAACTTGCAACCTCCACAAGGTAACTCTTCTAAATTGACATCTGGTCTGTAGTTACGGCATGCTTCAATGTCATCAGGTATTCTTGACAATCCATCTGCGTTAATATGTTTCTTTCCAGCTCTGTGTTGTATAATCATGTTATACTGAGACAGTTCTTCTATCCATCTTGCCAGTTGTCCTTCGATATTTTTAAAGTTTAGTAACCAGGTTAGACTGTTGTGGTCCGTTCTTATCACAAAAGTCCGACCTAATAGATAGTGACGAAATTGCCTAGTAAAACATATAATGGCCAATAATTCCTTTCTAGTTGTACAATAATTCCGCTGAGCCGGTGTTAAGACTTTACTTGCGAAGCTTACTGTTCTTTCCACTCCATCTTGTATCTGGCTTAATTCTGCCCCGATAGATTTTTGTGAAGCATCTGTATCTAAAATAAAGAGGTCATCAGGTGTTGGATAACTTAATATCACTGAATTTATCAAAGCTTCTTTAAGGTTTTGAAAAGACTGTGTTTGTTCTTCATTCCATGCAAATTCTGCCTTTGGACCAGTAAGTCGATGTAAAGGTTCCGCAATTTCAGCAAATTGTTCTATGTGATCACGATGGTAGTTAACGAACCCAATAAAGGATTCCACTTCTTTTCTGTTCCTTGGTGTTGGCCATTTCTTTACAGATCCTATACTGTCGGGATTCACCGCAACTCCGTCGGCGCTGACTATTTTCCCCAAGAACTTCACTTGTGTTTGTAGCAGTTGACATTTGCTTGGTTTTAATTTTAAGTTGTACTTCTGGAACCTCGAAAACACTTCACTTAAGCTACAGACATGGTCATCAAAATCTTTGCCTAAAACAATGACATCGTCAAGATATGCTAAA